TGTTAAATATTCTAGGATTAAATATTTCTGTTTTTAGCAGCATTGCGAAGCATTTCATAGCTGTGGATTCCTGTCCATTGTCGAATATTGCGCAGCCATGACATTTTTTTACGTCCGAGACCTCTCCTACCCTTTATCTTCCCTTCGAGTATCAGTTGCTGAAAAGTGTATCGTTCTCCTCGTATAATGTGCCCCAAGTATGCAGTCTTCTTACTTTTTACATAATCAAAAAGTTCCCTATCCTGTAAGCCCGCTCTTCTGAGTACTTCCTCATTTCTGACCCTGTCCGTCCATGATATTCTGAGCATTCGACGCAGGCACCACATTTCAAACACTTCAAGTTTGTTAATGGAACTGGCCTTTAACGTCCATGCTTCCATTCCGTACAGGAGAACAGGCCACACGTAACACTTAAGCATCTTGTATCGGAGGTTAAAGTCCAATTTGCGATCAGTCAGAAACTTACGAAGCCTCAAAAAAGCATTTCTGGCTTGTTCAACTCTGCTCTTTATTTCATTCTCGGGGTCCCAACCCTCATTCAGCAAACATCCCAAGTATTTGAATTGCCTGACTTGTTCGATTTCTTCTCCAGAGACATATATCTTTGCGTTGGGGTAATCATTTCTACTTATAATCATTGATTTTGTCTTCTTGATATTTATTTTCAAACCCCGAGCTTCACTTGCAAGAGTTAGATCATTTAAAAGGCATTGAAGATCTTTGATGTTATCTGCCACTATGGCTGTATCATCGGCATACCTGATGTTATTAATAAATATGCCGTTAACTTTAATACCCTTATTAGAGTCTTCCACTGCTTCTTCGAAGGCTTTTTCTACGTATAAATTGAACAGCATTGGGGACAGTATACAACCTTGCCTTACTCCTTTTTTAATGGAGAAATCTTCTGTTTCGTTGTAATTTTGAAGACGTACTGTTGCTGTCTGATTCCAATACAGATTGGCGATGATTCTTATATCCTTTGCATCCAATCCCAACTCTTGTAGGTATTTTATCATCAATTCATGTTTTACATTATCGAATGCTTTCTCGTAATCGATGAAACAGATAAAAACATCCTTTCTTTGATCTAAACAATTCTGTATCAATGTTTGCATACTAAAGATCGCTTCTCTCGTGCCAAGTCCGTTTTTGAAACCAAACTGACTCCATCCACTGACCTCTTCACATTTCTTAAACAATCTAGTGTGAAGTATTCTCAGGAAAAGTTTTAAAAAGTGACTCATTAGGCTTATTAGTCGGTGGTCCTTGCAGAGGTTCGCACGTGGTGTTTTTGGTAGGGCGATAAATGTAGATCGAAGCCAATCTTTTGGAATCTGGCCCGTATCGTAGATGTCGTTAAAGAGCTTGACAATAATGTCTAGGTTTTCTTCATTAAGTAACTTGATTGTTTCTGCGTACATATCATCTGGTCCTGGGGTTTTGTTACTTTTTAATAGTTTGATAGCGTGTACAATTTCAGCTTTCAAAATACTTGGGCCATACAAATGGTCTCCCAGTTGTGGTGGTTTTTGTGTTCTGTCATCATTGAACAAATTGGCTGTGTACATTTTCCAAGTATTAAGTATATCGCTAGGGTCCGTTATTAATTCATTTTGGTCATTATGTATACCAGTGACTTGTTTTTTCTTGAAGACACCAGCAATTTCCTTAATTTTCTTGTGAAGATTGAAGCTGTCGCCGAGTTTATATAGGCTTTCAGCCTCGGCGCAAAGTGTAGTCATCCAGATCTCCTTCGCCGCTATAATTTCTTTACGAATTTGACTTTGTATATTTCGGTTTGATTGTTTGATTTAAAATCCAATTATTCTGTTATTTTATCAAATCCTATTATTAATTATCCTGCTGGTATATTTAGTTTATTTAATATTTCGTTAACTATTGACTTTATTAAAGGTATTTTATAACAAAATTCAGAAGTATTAATGTTTTTATCTATTTTTCTTTCATTGCCTGGAGTAATTGCGTTAAATCAGAATTATGCAGTTGATTTGTAAAATGCGATTATCTCGAAAACTATTGAGTTTTGAAGTTATTAACAAGTATATCTTTTTTTTGTTAAAATATTGTATCTTTAATATTTTTTATCAAGAATACCGGTAATTTGAAGAACAAAAAAGTTAAGTGTAAATGTATGCCACGTATGTGGCATATGTGGCGCCCTCTATTAGATATATTAAAGTATGCATCAAATTATAATTTCCAAAATTCAGTAGTACCCAGCTGTAAATTTTTATACATAAATGTTTACAAATATGAAAGTTATAGCCAAAAATAAAATTTTAAATTTCTACTTTAACACCCTGTATCTTTTTTCTCAGCAACATTTTATTAAGGTATATTTGGCCCAATGGCCATATTTTGGTCCAGATAACCTGTCCTTAGTCTATGTCCCAATAGTTATGACTCACCCTGTATATAAAACAATATTGGTTGCTGTAACTTTAAGATAAGATTTAATAAACAAAATATTGTTGTAACGAATTATTTTGCCTACCACATAGGGTATTATTATGGATTTGAAAATTGCGACAGAAACTATTGGGCTGCAGATAGGGCAAGCACAATAAATGATACTTAGGAGAACGGCACTCAGGGCTGATTTGGAGAGCTGGGGTCGTGAATAAGTTGAATTGAGAGGAGTCGGATTAGGGCAACTACAAAAATGAAACAAAAAGAGAATACTTACATGAATCTTCTGGACAAATAGGCAAACAAAAACAACAAGAAACACCTTTAGCTATTTGAAATAAGGACGCCGCTTCGAAGGATCGTAGTTTTACTGGATAAAGGAAAAATAGGCTCTTCCTTCCTAAAAAACACAAAAGCAATATTTCGAGGATCTACTGAATATCCAAAACGATGTAGATATTATCACAGAAGAACCAGAAGAGGTAGAGCAATAAGACTAAATTCAAGACGAAATAACTATGGCAGAAACAAAAGAAATCATACAAAAGCTTAAGAAAGGTAAGGCGGCTGGATTTGATGAAACCACAGCAGAAATGCTTAAAAACATGGGCGACAGGGACATTAAACTGCTAAAAAAGTATGTAATAGGGCATGGAGTGAGAGCCAAATACCAAAAGATTGGGAAATGGGAGTTATTCTACCCATTTTTAAAAAGAGAGGCAGACGCGAATGTAGTAACTACAGAGAAATAACACTACTGAGCATCATATCCAAAATATATGAGAGAATACTAGAAAAACGTCTTTTAAAGAAGTCGATTCTAAAATGGAACAATCAAAGAGAAGATTTAGAAAAGGCAGAAGCATCCAAGATCACATTTTTACTATAAACAAACTAATACAAAACGCACGGAACTTAAGCACTGAATTATACCAAGATTTTATAGACTTAGAAAAGGCATTTGATAGTACTAGTAGTACAATAAGAAAGGTGTGAAAACAGAATCAGAACCGATAATATGGAATCCGAAGAGTTCATAGTAAATAAGGGTCTACGTCAAGGAGGAGTCCTAGGCCCTGGGCTGTTTAACATTGTCTTGGATGACATAATTAAAGAAACTAGAGCAGAAACATTGAAATTATATGCCGGACATAGAAATCTAAAAACAGTGTGGATCTCAGAGTATGCATACGCAGACGATCTAGTAATATTTGGGATAAATGAAGAAGCACTCCATCGAAATTTACAAGTATGGAACGCTGCACTAATTAAACGAAATTTGAGGATTAATAATGAGAAGACGAAAGTAATGGTATGTGGAAAACATAAAAAATAACCAAAGATAACACTTAACGAAAATACAATTAAACAAGTCGATACTTACAAATACTTGGGAGTACAAAAAGAGAACAGAGGAACTGAAGAAACTGAAATGAGTTCCAGAATAGAAAGTGCTGCTCGGATGTACCACGCAATTAAAAGTAGGTTTTTATCGAAAAAAGAAGTATCCCAAAAAGCCAAAGTGACCATATACAAGACGGTGTTTGTGCCGATTTTAACTTTTGGTAGTGAAAGTTAGATGCTTACTGATACACTAAAATCGAAAATACAAAGCATAGAAATGAAGTTTTTTAGAAGAATAATGGGTATAACCAGGATAGACAGGATTAGAAATAAGGCAGTCAGAGAAGATCTTAAGGTCTAACCAATTATTAAGAAAATTGAAGAGACCCAACTGAGATGATATGGACACATGCTTAGAATGAATCAAGAAAGACCAGTTAAAAACGTATGGGAAGCCAGAAGACAAATCAAGAGACTAAGGGGCAGGCCAATGAAGAGATGGGATAATAATGTAACCTCAATCCTAGAGACACCAGGAAACAGCAAAGAACAAGCAAGAAACCAAGCAAAGAATAAGAAACAATGGAGAAAAATTGTACATACAACTAACTAAAGACATTACACCCGACACCTTGGGGTAAATGTGCTTAGGATTGTATATTAATGTTCTCAACTTATCTGATTAGGAGGATAAGTCAATTATTATTACTAAAGTTATTAACTAACTATTTCATCCGATTGCCACCTCTCACATCCACCTTAAACAGTTCCGCCCCTAAATAGCTTTAAAAGATAAATTCCGTCTCAATTATTTTTACCACTTCCCCATATTTTATTATGACAATAAAAAAATGAATGGAAAGTTTCACGACTTTATCCTTTCCTAGGTACCATGTTAACTACGTTGTATCGTTTCAATTTTATTATATGCATAAACAATTATTTCAGTATACCAAAAGTGTTATAAAAACTCGTCCTAACCCAATCGAATAAGTTACTAACAATGCACACGTGTTGTCCCTATAAATTTTTGCATCCTTGTATCATGTAAAAATATTTACGCAACCTATTTAACAGAGTAAAGACCTTACATTAATATAACCGCATAATTACAGTTGTAAAAGAGCCCACCTCGTTCCAAATGAATCAGTTAATAAAAGTTGGCAAGTCTTTTGATGAAAAAATTACCCACTTAAGCTAAATACCAAGATCCTCTTGCCCAAATAAAAAGCATCATACAACGTTTACTCACAGACCAAGAAACGACGTTAATAATGAGATTGTTGTGTGTTTTAGTGATTTGCATTCACCTTTCTTCTTCTAAAAGCATCGACGGAAATGGGAGTGGTAATGGGAAAAGTTACTTCTTTAAAATGAGACAAAACAGCACTGACTTTATAGTCACCAGTAGGATTTCTAATAGAGGTCAGATTCAGGAAGATTTCAAAGAACTGCAGGCACCTGTTATAGTTAAAAGCCGAGCTTATGAAACTACAGGTCTTGGAAACGATTCTGACATGCCATCTCAAGAGTCTGAAGATTCTGATGAAAAATCCTCCGAAGACGTACCTATTCACGACAACCCGCATGATCTTATTATAGATGCCAACACAACAATAATCGAAGGTAGCCTTCCAGACAACATTCTTGAATCTATAATCCCTGACACGATAATTTCAAATGATACTCTTAAAACTGCTCAAGATATCCAAGAAAATATACTTGAAGATATTGCTTCTGGACTCAAAGTTGCTAACGAAAGTCTTGTGAGGAATTTTGAAGAGATTAAAGAAAGTATTTTGGAAAGTATTTCTCCTGGAGTAAATATTTCGAACGAAACTGTTGCCGAAGCCGTTGATGATCGTTCCTGGAAGAATTTGATGGAGCAGATTTTCAAAGCGGTAAGTGAGACATGTTTTAACTTATTGCATTAATTATTGTGTTTATCCAAATACGTACGTAAGTTCACAAAAATAGAAACTAACAATACTTTCTTAACACTAAGATATTAAATCAAAAAATGGTTTTTAAAATCTTCTAGTTTACTTCTAAACATATTTCACCTGATTTAGTGATGTAATTCACATGTATCAGAACTCGCGTGTAACTAATTCTCTCAAATCTTAACATATTTATATTTTTTTATACCAAAACAACTTTTAACTCATAATTACAGTGACGATTTTGTTTTAAGATTATCAGTTAATATTTTTAGACCTCGAGGTTTAACCCCCTATCAAGGAATAATGTAACGCTCACAATTTAAATGGGATAGTGAGAATAAAATATATAGATATATAGATAGATGGCACAACATTTTAAAAGGCGTTTAGTTTTGTGTTTATTTTAATGTTTAATTAATATTAATTGTTGCAATAGTTACAAAAAAATCGGGATAGATTTTCACAGAGGTAGATAAAAAGTGCTTTTACTCTGTACCTACTGGGATTAGTACTTGAAAGGTATTAATGTTCATAAAATGACATGTCTTTTATCTAGCCATTTTTAGTTACAAGGGTTGGAATTGTTGCAACCTTTGAATAAGAGGAAAAAATGAGTCTACACACTATACGTTTTTAGTTATTTTAGTTTTACAGCAATCTAATTGGTGAAAAAAAATCCAAAATAAAACAAATACTAGATTTGTACCATTACTTATTTTAAATAGGCGTCCTTATTTTAAATGGCTTGAGAACCTTCTGTTTTGTTTGTCCAGGAGACTCACGTAAGTACTCTTTTATTTCATTTTTGTAGTTGCTCCAATCCAATCCCATTGTTTCATTTACTTATCCATGACCCAGCTCTTAAATAAACCCTGAGTAGCCATTCGCAAAAGTTTTGGTTTTACAGATTTTACTTCGAAAAATTATACGAACAAACTAAATTTTATCTAAAATGTCAATTTTGGGACCCAAAAAAAGTGCAAAAAGGTTAACCACTTCTACCTCCTTGCTTTCTTCAAAACCTGCCTCGTAGGAGGGAATATTTGGTGCCCGCCAGGTACCCGTACAGGCATTCCGTGTAGTGGTTCTGGATGTAGGGTGAACAATTTGAGGGGTTCGACGCTAACACGTCTCATAAACCTTTTACTTGATTTAAGTTAGATGGTTTCTAGCGATTCCTCCAACTCGTACAACTGGTGACTTTTATCGAAAGCTTATCCTAGGAAAAAAGACGGTGCCAATGGGGGTTCAAGTGGAAAAGAATCCAAAAGCCATTAAAAAAGGGAGGACGCTATCTACGATAAGATGGCAATATGCGAGAACGAGAAGGAAACAATAGAGTTCCTAAAAAAAGACCGACCGGAGGAGGTCTTCACAATAACAATACAAAAGCCCACCATTGAAGAAAATTCAGGTCCCGAAATCCTATCAGAAGAGATAACCGTAGCCGTCAGACAAATGAAGGATGGAAAGACAATGAAATTCCTGTTTTGATGAAAAAAACTGTTGAAGCTATTAGACGCAGAACAAATAAAAATAATAACTGAAATATTTAATGAAATATAGAAGGCAGAAAAAATACCAGTAGAGTGGCTCAAATCGGAGTTCATACCATTGCCCAAAACAACAGGAACAAAATTTTGTGAAGATTATAGGACCATAAGCCTAATGAGCCATCTGCTGAAGTGTTTTTAGAAGTCATCCACAATAAATTGCCCCCAATCAGTTTGGATTTGTAAACGCGGTTGGTACGAGGGAAGCTTTATTTAGTGTGTAGGTATTGTTTCAGAAATGTAGAGATGTCATATGTAATGCTTTTGCATGCTTCACTGACTACACGAAGGCTTTCGATAGGGTCAGGCATGAACAAATGATGGAAGTTATTATTTTTAAGTCTTTTCTGTAAATCCCTGAAGAGGACAGGGATTGACAGAAAAGACTTAAAAATAATAGCTAACCTGTATTCGAATCAATCAACGATGCTCCGAATAGATGGAGGATATACAGATCAGGTCAAAATCTTAAGAGAAGTGAGACATAATTTCATCACTGATATTTAATCTGTACTCGGAGCACATTTTTGAAGAGACTCTAAAAGATATTGATGAAGATGATTCAATAAATGGAGTCAAGCTTAATAACTTGCGGTATACAAATGATACAATAGTGTTTTCGAATACCATAGAAGGGCTGCAAAACTTAATGAACAAAATAATGGAAACAAGGAGAAAATATGGACTGGATACAAACACCAGCAAAACCAAGCTAATGATAATTAACAAGGAAAACGTAACTAGAGGAAATCTGTATGTGAACCAAATGGGAATTGAACTTGTCTCACAATACAACTACTTGGGAACTATAATCAATGTGTCGTGGAACAACACCTAAGAGATTAAATATCAGTCATAACCTCACTCTAGAAACAATAATAAGGCTCCTTAAACGTTATGTGTACTCAGTACTTCTGTACGGAGTAGAAATGTTGATATTGGAGGCAGAAACTCTATCAAAACTTCAGGCTTTTGAGCTGCGGCTATACAGAAGGATCCTGAAGATACCATGGACAGACAAAGTTACCAATGAAGAAGTACTGCGGATGATGAACACAATCGCGGATTTGATCAACATCGTGAAGGGACGTGAGCTGCAGTACTTGGGACATATAAGGAGAGATCAAGCCAGATATGAGCTACTTCAATGCATTTTACAAGGTAACGTTGAAGGCTAGTTTTGCAGAGCAGTGTAGGAAAAAAATATCATAGCCATCATAGATCCAGTTTTCTACGTGACACACTAAAACATTTGATTGTCAAATAGATACCTAAAAGAAAAGGATATAAATTTCAGTATCGCTGACACATTTACTACAATATTAGCAATTAAACTAATGGATGAACATAAGTGTGTCCATGTATTTGTTTTTTTTTCTCTCTCATTTTAGTGCAAAAAATTACCAAACTTAGACATAGACAATAATTAAAATATTGCTTCAAGGTTTAGTAGTACCGCATTTTAAGTAAACATGTTACCGGTTATTAAACCATATAATAATACAAATTGCGTGAAATTATTCTCACTACTAAATTAGTTTTTTATTAGATATTTCTGCTTAATCATCAATCTCAAAAGTGATGTATCAGATTTATATTCCGGTTTTTTTTTTATAAAATGTTCAAACAATGAAAAATACCATTTTCTCTCTTTTCCACTTTTTATTATTAAGTCACGGTCATTGTTAAAGTGTTGCTTTAACGAATTATTTAGAATTTGCCAAAAACTTCAACTATCGACTAATTAGTCTAGGAGCAAGGGGTGAGGTTGAGTCCTCTTGCTCATTTTTATGTCCCCCCGGTAGATTGACGTTTATTTATGTTTTTTGATGGGTAGATTCAAATTTTACAGGGTACAAAGATAAAAAACCGTCAATAATTTTTTATTAACAATTTAATTGCTTAAATGATGGTAAACTTTGATCTGATTGTTAGAACCGAAGTTATAAAATTTAAATAATTTTTTTTATTTAATAATTTTGATGAATGATTTTAGTATTTTCAAAATTTGCCCAGAGTCCTTGAGGCGAATCGGTTTCCTGGTGTGGGATTCCGAATTAGTAACTCTACCCCCTGGGGTCCTATTCCGTTTGTTTTATAATTCGACATGTTTCCTGAAGAGGGTTTTTTGGCATTAAAACACCTCACTTGCAAGACGGGTTTGTGAGTTCTATATCAGCCGCCCACTCTGGATCAGACTGTACTGATATTTAATTTTACTTAATATTATTTGTTTTTTTTTTAATTTATTTAATTCTGTTTTCTCGATTTTTCAAAAGGATAAAAAGTCATTATCAGACATCAGGTCAAATAGTAACAAAATTGATTTAAAATTTCATTTGAGGTATATACTGTATTACTGTTTTTTATATTGTTTAGTTCTTCGCCACCAAACAGGTGACACCTTTGTGATCGAACCACTGGAAGTGAGAAGATTTCGGAGACATTAGTTGATCTCTTTGGTTAAATCGGAATCAGCTCGAACGACTGACAATGTAGAGATACAATATAATAACTGTTATATCGCGATTAAGACGTGCAAAGTGTGCCTAATTTGTGCTCCAATGTTATAATATATGGCTTTTATTTAATATATATAAATATTTGATCTTTAATGATTGTTGCATTTTTCAATGTCACACAGTGTATTAGCTCCATCGCCATTATCTTAATTATTAAATTTATTGTAATAAAAATTATACTTACATGTAAGAATAAATTTTCAATAATAACTCTGGGTAATTTTGATGACTCCACAATTTGCAGGACAACAATTTTTTATTGCTTTGGCAATATTGTTTTAAATGAATCTAGGAAATGCACCGCAAGTTATCATTAATACTATATTATTGATATTTTGTGTTATTTAATTATTACAATATGGCTTTTATGCAGTAGGGCGGAACGTGTAAGCATTAAGTGATATTTATGATACTAATAGCATGCTGCGTGCATACCCATTAATATGCAGATTTTTCAGACGTTGTCCTTTCTTTTATTTATTATTAGAAAAAATAGTTACATCCATTAGAAGGATATTAGCGATGGAACAAAATATCATATATAATATATATCATATATATAACAAAATTGAATAACTACAGATTATCAAAAATGTTTAAAGATCTTAGATGTTTAATTATATTATCATAGGAACACTCCTGATCTAGAGCTTCTGCTAGAGAGTTCGAGATATTGTAACAATGTCTTTCTTGATCATATTTACCACAATTTATTAAAAAGTAATCAACTGTTAATCGAACGTTACACTGATCATATATGGGTGGATTATTCTTTGTGAAAAGATAAGAGTATATTAACTTGGTGTGTCCTAGACGTAGACGCGCAAGCACAATTTGTTCATGCCTGTTAAGCGGCGATGAAATCCACTGGAAAACATTACGC